ATGAAATGTAGTGAAGTAAAAAGTACGATCTTATGCTTTGGAATGTAGTGAAGTAAAAGTATAAGTTACTCAAAATAAAACGACTCCAGTAAAGTACAGATACTTGAAAAATGTACTTAAGTACAGTAACGAAGTAAAGCTACTCCGTTACTGTCCACCGTCAGTGACATCAGTTCATTTGGTTCACACTAAAATGCTCTTCCATCAATTCTCGGCTCACTACGAATCGGATTCAGTGTGTCTTGGTGTTTTGGACTGGAGAACCGCTCGGATTGATTCAGTTCGATCTTCGAACGCATTGTTCAGATCGAGATTGTGAACGGGTTCAACCTGGTTCAGCCTAATCGTTCAAATGATCCGACTCAAAAGAACGATTCGTTCACGATTCGGGCGTCGCTATTACAATATTTGTCTCTCGTGCTGCCTCATGAAACGCTGCTCTTGAGGACAGCTAATCCTAACTAGTAGACTTCTCCTTACAACGAATGCCGGTGGTTCACTACTTTTGCTGCACAGATACCAACATCGATAATGTCTCATTTAAGAATACGAATGTGTTGATTGTGTGGATTCTAAATCTACAAGCTCTTTTGGGCGCGAAAACAGTTAATATTTTTAACAATAATATTATTACTCTCGGCTATAAATTCTCTTAGCCTGATACGCGACCCCGTTGTAGGCTATACACAGCAGCCAAAGACAACCGACAGTCACTGTCTGGAAATCTGAAGTGATCAACAGTTTTAATAACATTTTATTACATCCTGGTTGCAATGCAGTGTTATAGCCAGGGAGAACGAGATTAAAATTCCAGTTCTGCCGTTTTTTCCGAGTAAATTCCATGGTCGTATTTGTGTCAAGAAACCCTCAAGGTCAATGCAAATGTTTTTCCTGGTTTTATAAAATGCACGATGATCTTATAGGCTATATATATATATAATATTAAAATTGCCGATTCCAGTGATATAATCAGTGTGGGTACATACCAATTCGGACTGCAGGCTGTGAGCGTCAATATTATGGATATTAAAATAGAAGAAATCATTAAATCCAAATCGGTTATTTAAAATGAAAACTGGCATAAATCCACAGTATTACCAGACCGACGCTTCCTCTTCTATACCAGTCTTGGTTACTCCACAGGAGAATGAGAAAGCATGTTGATGAACATGCTCTTGTAGGGTAAGTCGGGTCAGAATTCAGCATGTGCGTCCGGAGTCCACATATAATGATGATAACGTTTCAGTTTCATTCCAATGACAGGACAGCGAAGCAGCACAACAGCGCATGAATCCGTGTTGCTTTTGCACTTCTCTCTGTCCATTCAATCATGGCCATCTATCTATATGACTGAATGTGCAGCTGGGAAATTCTTCCTGTTTCTGTTCACGGGCACACTTAGTTTATGCTATCCTTGCCTAAATATGTGTTTGTAAACTGGGTAAAATCGGTTACTGCAACACACGCAGACACAGGTTGCGCCTCAGTGTGTTTTTAAACACAATTTCGCCACCTAGTGGAATGACTGTTTTCACTAATACTATAGATTAGATCAATATTTCTAACGGAGGGGTTCCAAAACTTTTTCATGATAGGCCACTCTAGAGATGTATAATCTATTTCCTATCAGAAACTTTTTTTAGTAAAATATGAGAAAATAAACTCATTTGTTTTCTTGTCATACAGCATATACAGAGAGAGAATATTTCTGTCACCAGAGCTGGGTAGTAAGATTACATGTATTCTGGATTACATAATCAGATTCCAAAAATTAAGTACTTGAAATTTGATTAAAATACATAAATTACAATCAGACTACATTTTTTATTGATTACATGATTACATATTACTCGCACAATAGCAATAAATTATTCATAATTGATTGATTCTCCTATACAGAGAGAGAATATTTCTGTCACCAGAGCTGGGTAGTAACTGATTGCATGTATTCTGGATTACATAATCAGATTCCAAAAATTAAGTACTTGAAATTTGATTAAAATACATAAATTACAATCAGACTACATTTTTTATTGATTACATGATTACATATTACTCGCACAATAGCAATAAATTATTCATAATTGATTGATTCTCCCTAATTCCTTATATCTTTTAAATGCTCCTTTCTAAAATAGCCTACCACTTATATACATTCAGAAAGTCTTCCAGTTTTCTGGACCTTCACACAAAGACCAGTTACTGGTCAGATGGCTGTAATTATACACAGAAAACTGAGAGGGCCACACAGCATTTGACCACTGGATTTACCGAAATCGTTTTCATTTTAATAAGTGTGTTCTCAACATTTCAACATTGCATCAACTACTGATGAACACATTAATATTTATTTGAATTATCACTCAGTAGGTTATTTAACCATGTATTCTACCGTAAATTTTACGGAATTTTTTTACAGTGTAGGTATTCACAAACTTTTTTTTTGTCAGCCGAATCTCTTTCACATTTATTTGAAGTCCCCCCTGAGATTTTAAGGTAATAAGTTAATAATTAAGTAACACATTTGCATGTTCACGGTTCTCTGACATTGGTAAATGGTCACATGATATGCAGGTAAACAAATAATTTAATTTTTTTTAGTAAGTGTTTTATTTTAATTGTTATTTTAAAATGATTTATTGCAATTTTCCATTTCTATGATTTCATTATTAGCTTTTCATTAAACTTGTGAACCTCCTGCAGTTCCTTCACAAGCTCCAGTTTGGGAAACCTTGACGTAATGTAATGTTTAGTGCACTTTATTATGTTAACAAGAAAAAATGTATTTTTTTCTTTTTCTTTGCATTTTTATATCAATATGGTACATTATTCTCCTGTTTAAATCAATATGATAAACTAGTTAGGTCAAAAGTCATCTAAAACTAATCAAAAATTAGTCTGATTATATTACCTAAAATGTGTAATGTAACGAATTAGGTTCCTAACTACATTTTTTTTGTCATGTAATTTGGAATCAGTAACGGATTACAATTTTCAAGTAATCTACCCAGCTCTGTCTGTCACACAAGTGTGATTCAATAGTTAATTCCGTGAAGGTTTCGTCACACTGGTAAATTGAGTTTGAGTCTGTAGTGTATGCTTACCAAAAAATGTTAATTGAATTTGAAAAATTATATTTTTCCATGACCCACGGTAAAAACCACAGTTAAAACAGAATTTACGAAGACACTTGTAAATCGCGTTCCTTGCGTAGTAACTATAGCAACAGGTTCCATTCTTACATGCAGTAGGCTTACTGTCATTAAGATTTTATTACAAATTTACATTTCATAAGTATACCACAATCCAATAACCGATTTTAGGAAGCGAGTTATACAATACATTAAATAACATCAAACAAACAAGCACGATAATTTCAGACTAGATCATTTTATATCACGTTAGGTATTATCCTAAATCCATTGGAACTTAATAAAGAAAGATTTCAGCATAGTCATTACGTTTTGAATCTTCGATTCTTCCTTTTTTTATATTCACATTATTAGACTGAACCGAAGATATAAGTGATCCCTGTCATCAGCTCATTAGCACAAAATGTTCCCAGACTCCAAGCAGAGTCTTGTATGGCCTTGAAAGTGTTCATTTTGCAATAATGACCGGATGACTGCAAATTATCCTGCTTATTATCCGGCTCCTTGCCAAATAAATAAATGGACATGAAATATTGATTTGAGGTTAAATTATGTTATTATGTAAGAAGGAAAACTGCGGAGTAGTGCAAGTAAAATCGGTTGCCATGTACCACAGCTGGCCAATCAGAATCAAGTCATGACTTATTATTTTGTGTATATTTTTCTTTATTATTTTCCGCGTTTACTATCTTTATATGTATCATTTTAACTAATAACTGTGCAAAAAAACTACAGATATTTGAGAAAAGGGAGGTCCGGGACATACCTCACCTGCGTTACACAAGTTATTCCACAAGATGGCGCTTACGTGTCTTACCCACGGGTCTAAAAAATGAAGAAGCTGCAGCTATGAGGGAGTGTTGAACAAATAAGATGAATTGTGATTTTTCGATATCTTACGTTTAAAACTTTACATATGTAGTGAAATTAAATTCCGTTGCATTGACAGAATCTACAAGAATATTATCCAAACATTTGCCTTGACCTTTTCAAATACTATACCACATAAAAATAGGACATAGGGAAAATTATGTATGAATGTACTGTTAAGATAACAACAAATATTCTGTTGATTATGATTTCATATGCATAAATGTCACATGTAGCCTTTACATTATGGGTCAGATGCGTTTGGATAGTGAGTAGCCTAGATGCACGCACTGAAATGTTATAATAATTATGCGTATTTTTCATATACATGTGCATAATTTGTATTCAAGTTCGGCTGATTCCTCCACGACTCCTCTAAGATGTCATGCCTCTTTAAGAACTGCGAAAGAAGTCCAGCTCTGTCCATTAGGTTTATTGTTGCCAGCTCAGCCAATCATTGAATCCTACGACACAATAGAGTGGCCAAAGTTGCAGTATAAAAAGCCTTGCCGAATTTAAGCATGACATCTACTTGTCCGGTGTGTGGTGAGGTTCATTTCCATAGCAAATCAGATCAAACATCCTTTAGCACGCTTTGGAACATGCATTTTACACAGGTTTTAATTTCTCTAAGTGCATTAATTGCATGTGGTTCAGTGGGTCATGGAGATATAACGGCGCATCAGCAGCCTTCCACAGCCACGGAGGAAAGCGAGCAGTGTTCCACATGTGAGTTCAGACAACACAGCAAGCTGATGAGACTGCATGCCATCAAGTCCCAAATTCTTAGCAAACTCCGACTCAAACAGGCTCCAAACATCAGCCGGGACGTGGTCGAGCAGCTGTTACCCAAAGCACCGCCTTTGCAACAACTTCTGGATCAGTACGATGTTCTGGGGGATGACAGTAAGGATGGAGCTGTGGAAGAGGACGATGAACATGCCACCACAGAGACCATTATGACCATGGCCACAGAGCGTAAGGATCGTATATTTCAAAGATTCATTCAAGTAGATGTATCCTCTTAACAATGGACAAAAAATAGGGTAGATAGGCTACTTGGAGAGACCCTTTACGCAGTCTTTACGTCCAAGCCATTTGCACTCACAAGACGGCTATTGTGCATTAAATGCACAGTTCATGCAAAAATAATTCTCGTTTACTGATTTTTTTAAAGGCTTTGTGTTGCTCCTTTATCAGTCTTTCTAAACCGATTTTACGCACGCTGAACATGGAAGCGCAGAAAAGCGCACCAGCGTCGGTCAGAAGGAAATGGTTTCACCTTTACCACACGTGACATTTACAAACTGTAGTTGAAACTGGGTCATATCTCAGGCATTATTTTTTAGGTAAAAATAAAAAAATAGCCGATCCATTAGTTTTTAAATATAGTATAAATGTTTCCTTCCGCAATGCCGTATAAGGTCTTTTTTTAATGTAAATGACTACATATATCTGAACTATATATATAGTCAATCACAGAACTGTATATATAGTCAATCACATTTTTACATTTAACTGTCTGCTGTATGTCTGTAATGCATTGTATTTTGTGGGCGTAGTCAACATTTTTTAATTTAAATCAGTGCGCCACATCATAAACTGCTTTAATGATAAAACCTGTAGATATAATCATGAATACAGTCCGTATAATCGCTCTTTCTCTTTTTTTTTTTCAGCTGACCCCATCGTTCAAGTAGATCGGAAACCGAAGTGTTGTTTTTTCTTCTTCAGTTCGAAGATTCAAGCGAACCGGATCGTAAGAGCGCAGCTGTGGGTTCATCTGAGACCGGCGGAAGAAGCGACCACCGTCTTCTTACAGATATCACGGCTGACGCCCGTTACGGACGGAGGAAGGCACATACGAATACGATCCTTGAAGATCGATGTGAACGCAGGAGCGACGTCTTGGCAGAGTATAGATGTAAAACAGGTCCTGGCGGTGTGGTTAAGACAACCGGAGACCAACTGGGGCATTGAGATAAACGCGTTTGACGCGAAGGGAAACGACTTGGCCGTCACCTCAGTTGAGGCTGGAGAGGATGGACTGGTGAGTTGAGCTGTTGTGGTTACCAAAAATGCGTTTTTCGTAAAATATAACCGCTTTTAGACAGAGCTTTGCCAACAGTAATTGTTGTGAATGGCACTATTGAGAAATTATTTACATGGTTTAGTTATGCAATACTTTGTTTAAAATAAATAATATTTTTAGTGAATTAATCTGGATCTGAATCTAAAGTTACTTTCGCCATGTCTAACAAGAAACGAACTAAATAAAAAATGTGAACCCTCATGAAACTTAAGCTTAAATTAAAACTTGTGGTACTCAATTGTACTTTACACAAATTAATTTTTTTTTTTTTAAGTTAGTTTTTCTATTTGTTTTAGTATTTTTTATTTAATATAAATATCATAAAAAAGTGTGGCAAAAAAAATGTATTACATTTATGTCTGTATATTGGTTCTGCTGATATCAGAAATGATCTCATGATTTGCTGGGGGCCGTAACTGCAATAAGAATTGAAGAAATCGTTAATGGCATCATTTAGCGATGATAATCATTAAGTGGAATTGGAACCAGAATCATTAGCATTCATTAATGGTTGGACAAAGCTACTTCATGGTCAGACCAGGAGTTGGCAAGTGCCGTCAGACAGGAAAGCACCAACAGTAAACTGAAACACTGGCTCTTTGGTTTCTTTCACACCCAGCTCCCCTTCATGGAGGTGAAAATTTCCGAGGGCCCAAAGCGAATCCGGAGGGACTCTGGATTGGACTGCGACGAGAATTCGTCAGAGTCTCGATGCTGCAGGTACCCTCTCACTGTGGACTTCGAGGACTTCGGCTGGGACTGGATTATTGCTCCAAAACGCTATAAGGCAAATTACTGTTCAGGAGAATGCGACTTCATGCACCTGCAGAAATATCCCCACACCCATCTGGTAAACAAGGCCAATCCACGAGGCACCGCCGGGCCCTGCTGCACCCCCACCAAGATGTCTCCCATCAACATGCTTTACTTCAACGGCAAAGAGCAGATCATCTACGGCAAGATCCCCTCAATGGTAGTAGACCGCTGTGGCTGCTCATGAACCAGTGCCCAGACAGGACTCGATCCGTCTCATAGACCCGGACATCTGATCACACCATCCACCATCCATTATCAGTGCTTTCCGCAAGACACTGTGCAATAGAAGGACGCTCACTTACTCTCTGGGCACTGCTTTATTTGACTATGTTTTTTGTCATCTTCCTCTAAATCAGTATCTCTGCTACAGGAGTCCAATGTTACATGGATGTACTAAAGGAATGCCATACTGGCTGGACTTGGGAATGGACACTATTGAAATACATGACATTCTCTGCTTTATTTCATGTTTTCACCTTGTCAGAATACTCTCATTAGGATACGCAGACAACATTGTATTATGCAACCACGCCAAAATACAATCATTTAGATCTTTGCTGTAACAGCTGTAACCGGTAAGCTTATTTAAGAAGGGTATCCAAGAGAAACAGAGAGGGACTCTTGAACATTGAACAGAGCTTGAATACAGTTATCTGACGCAAACTTCCACATACACTGCAATAAACACACCGATCGAATTGTTAATCGTAGCTTTTGTCCACTACTCATCTGTCGAACAGCCCTACACACTTGAAGTATTATTGAGATCGTTATTAGGGGACAGAAGGACTTGAAGCAGAGGCGCTGTGAATGCAGTCTACACATTGAAATGTGTTCGAGACAGAGATATCAGAACTGTAAGATTGAATGTTAATATCACGCTAACACTCTTGTCTTCAAACCACACAGTTTGCACTAAGGCAGACCAATAGAAAGAATTGGTTGCTAAAAATGTTGTAAAAACTGATTTTGATATGTTTGCTAATTGTATTGTATACTTGCCATTGTTTCCATTAACAGTTGCCTTTTTTAACCACGGTTAGTACATGTATATGAACACGAAATAGCAAAAAAGTGTACAATATAAACCTATGTATCTGTTCAAACAAATAAAGGTGCTTGCTTTATATGTTTAACTCTATTATTTCAAATTGTTCAGAAAAAGGGTTAAAACTGCACTGAGTTTTAAATATTTGAAAACAAGCAGTTCTGTACTTGAATGATTTTGTTCAAGTAATCAAAATCATTTGATAAAATGTTTTTATTGTCAAACTGATCCATATTGGATGTGATCAGAGAGTTAAAAGGGGAAGTCGTTCCACCTCATGTCTTTTTCTAAGCAAAGGTGAATGCAGGGTACAGTCCAAACTGTGTTAAGAGGTTCCTTTTGGGTTGAATTTACTATCATTTGACCTTTTCATTTGTTTTTCCCATAATGGCAGCGAGCTGTGGTGTTACATAAGTCCAAATTAACAAATCTCCCCTCGGAATAGTTCAGTGTGAGCATGCAGTAGAGTTTTCTAAAAGGACTTGTGCAGAAATGTTTTGACAGCACGGCTAATTAGACCAAGGCTTATTGGAGCCCTCACTTCCGTCCAGAAGAGGGCGAACTCAGCACTGCCGAGATCTGCTTCCTTTCCTGCTGTGAGTTGGACAGATGCCATGGAAACCAGGTGGGAACTGCTCTGAAATGAACAGAGGGTTGTGGGAGATTAAAAGTCCCTGAGCAATAACATTTCTTTCCACATTTGGGTTGAGATAATGTGCCGTGGATTCAGGATCATTTGCCACATACAATTAAACTTGGGTTCTGAAAAGCCCAAACACCTCACATGAACGCGCTTGAAACTATCGATAAGCGTTTTAACATCTGAATGCGCACCGATAATCAGGTGCATCCCTTCGTAATTCATCCTGTTGTACATGCAGGAGCGTTCGTGCTATGAATCACGCTCAGAAGAATGACTGATTTGTTTTCTTGTGCATCTGACTTGCAGCACCGTCCTTTGTGCCAGGTAATGGCAAGTGTATGATAAACAGGAACAGTAATGGTTTCCCCAAGTTGTTATATCTGTCACACGGGAAACGTTTTCCTTGTCTCCGTAGCTTGACGGGTGCCAGCACATTCCCAGGTTGACAGGAGAGGAAGTGACTGTGAGAAAATGGGAAGGCAGAGTGGCTCCTTGAGGGACAGGAGACTCCGGGGGGAAACACATAACTCATCTCAGTCACCAGGATTCCCCATATCCACATGAGCTGCAGGGGAGCCGGGTAGAGCTGCATGTGCTTGGACAAGAGGGAAGCACCATGTACAAAGGGGAAGAGGGGAAGAGGGACAGCTGCCAGGTGTGGTCAAACATCTGCATCTTCACACTAACGTGCAGTCTCTGGAACAGCTGGATAAACACTTGCTTTTGAGTGTTGAGTTAAAGGTACACACTGCCATGAGGTATCAGGTCGAATATTGATGGCGAGGTTGCAGAAAGGTGACAGATGATACATGTTGTGCTATTGACATCTCACCTGGTCTGCTGCTGCAGTAAACATGAGCTGTACTATTACCTGTCTGCCAAAAAACAATCAAATTATGTCAATTTTTCATCTTAAAGGGGTCATATGATGCGATTTCAATTTTTCCTTTCTCTTTGGAGTGTTACAAGCTCTTGGTGCATAAAGAAGATCTGTAAATTTGCAAAGACTAAAGTCTCAAATCCAAAGAGATATTCTTTATACAGAGCTTTGTAAAAATCGTCACGTTTCAGAAAGGCGGAGCATAGAGGAGAAACAATAATGTACAGTATGTGGAAAATAATGTGTTTTTTTAACCTTAAACCGCATAAACACATTGCATTACACCAAATACACAAAATAATGTTCTTTTTAGCAGCATCATATGACCCCTTTAAGTTGACAGATGCCATTCAGGTTTTGAACAAGAGACCATTGTGAATTGTAAGTTTATTTGCTCTAAAGATTCAAAGTGCAATTGCTTATAAATATGGACAAATTAAAATGGTTTTTTTATTTGTTTGTTTGTTTTATATTTTTTTAAAAATTATGCTGGCCCAGTAGAATTATATATGCCCTGCTGATATTATGTGTCATCACCCCAAAAAATAATAAATAATAATATCAAAATAATAATTCAAGTTTGGGGTAATTTTTTTTTTAAGAAATTAATGTTTTTATGCATCAAGGATGCATTAAATTTATCAAAAGTGACAGTAAAGATATTTATAATGTTACAAAATATTTTATTTCAAATAAATACTGTTCTTTTGAAAAAAAATCAAATCAGCACATGATTTCTGAAGGCTCATTTGACACTGACGACTGGAGTAATGGCTGCTGAAATAAATTATATTTTAAAATATATTCAAACAGATTTGTTTTAAATTTTTTACTCTTTTTGATCAAATAAATGCAGCCTTGTTGAGCACAAGAGACAAAAATTTTGAAAGGTACTGTAATTTGGCTGGAAAGTCAAAGCATGCAATGATCATTTAAAGAAGCATTAAAACTGATGCATCTTGCAATTTTGACAAACCCTCTTCTACACCTACTTTCCCATGGTAACATATTTAAACCAGTTGAATTTGCATCATCAGTCTTCAATAGACTACATCACAGAAAACCAAATGTTTAGATCTGAAAAAAAAACATGCATATGATCATTAAATATAATACTCAGTGACAATTAATTTCGTCAACTGGCCCCAAAACTCTCTGACTTCTCACAGAGCCAAGCTTATTGTTGAGCTCTGCACTGATCTTTTCTAATTCAGTCAACAATCAGTTCCACTCAACAGGCACAATCTAAAGTACCTTTAATTTAATGATTAATCTAACATTTTGCAATGCAGTAATCACCTCAGTTTCCAAGGGAGGTGCGATTCAGTTACACTGAACTTGTGCTCTCATCTGAAGAAAGCAATGAAAAGCAATAAAAGACATGAGCCTCGGGCAGATAGGTGCAGATGTGCAGCCACTGACGGCTGGTTGTCAGCACCCCTGATGGATTTATCCAGCGCATCCACACTGGGCCCTGCCTTCAACACCACTTGTTTTTTCACTTAGCTGAGAAATCGACATCCATCTCTCCCAAAACTCTATTGACCCTTGTGGAATCAACATTTGATTAATTACATCGTAAAGCTATCGGACATCGAGGACGGGAATGTGTCCTGTTTTAGCAATGTGTAACTCAAAATCACATTTGGGCTGGAATGAGTCATTCAGCAAGTTTTGTCCATAAGTCTAAGTTCATTTACAAGGCACCCTAATGACTGAAGTGGAAAAGGTCTGTGGCAGTAAACCATAGGCCCCCAGGAGACCAATGACTGACAGTGATGGAGGATAGATGTTCCTCTGAGGAGACTGCGAGATGTCTGGATCATTTGGAAAAATGGAAACATGTCCCCTCCTGTCATCACAACGCCTGTCAGACAGCTGGATGTGCAGGAATCTGAGGTGTCTTGTCATATGGAGAAGCAGTTTTGCTTTGTTTTGCAATCAAGGCAATAATGTTTGTATCAAAAAATGTTCAAATAAAATGTTGCCCATTGAAAAATCGTCTGTAATTTCTTATACAAGATTGTACTAGATCTATATATCTATCTTCCTGTCTATGTCTATCTATCTATCTATCTATCTATCTATATCATTTTATCTGTCTGTCCATCTATCTGTTTCATCTGATTTCTATCTATTAGTGTCATTATACATGTCAATCAATTATTGTTCATATAACAAAAAATCGTCTGTAATTTCATAACTATCTACTATCTATTTGTTCCATCTGATTTTATGCAGGAGGATTTCTATCAATCTCACAGTCAACCCTAACAATCATCCAGAAATCCTTAGAAACTGACCAGCAGCAAGCTAGCAACCACTTAGTAAGCATGAGCCTACCTTGTTCTTGTGGATTCTTCACAACCTTTTTGACAGTTACATCTGCAAGACACATAACAGTGTGTCTGAATTTAAACTGTTGATAACACCAACTACATAAAGTTCAGATACTGAATAAGCAGAGGTAACCCCCATTCCCCCACATAGCATAAATCCAACACTTATAAAGTCTCTAAGGACAACATGAAAACCACAGTAGGTCATTATACAGTGGATGCTGCCAAGTATCACAAGCCTCATAGTGAGAGCATTAAGGTGGACAGTATGCAATCCACCAATTAAGGCAGCAGCAAGACTGCACATTTAAAAGAGTGGTAACCATATGGAGACATGCTTAAAGGGGTCATATGATGTTGCTAAAAAGAACATTATTTTGTGTATTTGGTGTAATGAATGAATGTGTTTATGCGGTTTAAGGTTCAAAAAACACATTATTTTCCACATACTGTACATTGCTTCCACCAGTGCCAGCTGCTCGCTCTTTAATTAATTAATGCCATTTGATGGCTAATTGTATACATTATGAATTTACAGCACATTTTGCTGATTTGCACTTTGATTGTATGAGAAACATTTGGTTGAAAGGATAAAAATGGCATCTGAATGAACAGTTAAAAGCTGTAAAAAAAAAAATTATGACTGTCAATTTAACAGTAATATTGTGGGATTAGTAATATATAAAAAATAACACAGAAAGGGGATTTTCCTACCATTGAAGCAATTCAAGCTATGGCCATTAGCTAGTCCGCAATCAGAGCAGCTCCAGCTGCTAGTACAGGCAACCTGTCTGGTGTGCAAATTATTTTAGTCTTGTAGCGAACCTGCCTCAAACGTCAACTTTCTTGAAGACTTTTTTACGAGAAAAAAACACGTTTCTTGTGATGTACAAATCAATAAAAACGTGGTAAAAATAACAGTACTTCAAGCTCGTGGATGTAACAACTCAAATGAGAGCTAGCGGGCAATTGTTGTTATGGTTACGTCCTCACACATATACAACTTTCTTGAAGACGTTGTAACCGTTTATTATGATGTACAAATCTAGAAAAACCTGAAAAAATTGAACGTACTTAAGAGTTGTCGATGTAACGACTGAAACCGAGAGCGAGCGAGCATATGTTACCGTTACGTCCTCACGCATATATGTATACGTGGGCACGTACTTGTTTGTGTGGTTCTTGTGTACAACTTTCTTGAAAACGTTGTATGGGAAAAACACTTATTGTGATGTATAAATCTACAAAAACGTGATAAAAATGACAGCACTTGTTGTTTGTCGATGTAATGATTGAAACCGACAGCGAGCGTGCAACTGTTGCAATGGTCACGTCCTCACGCATACCTGACGTGCGCACTCGTTTTTGCATTCAAAAAACACAGTTCAAAACCGCTTCTCGAAATCTTGAAGCTAATCGGACGCTGAAAAAAAAAGGAGAATCCAATGCAGCGCTTAAAGAGGCCATTCATAAATTCACAACTACAAGTGTGTTAAAAAGTGCTTGACCACAGATATAAAAACAATATTTAAGATTTTTAAATGTAAGAATGTATATATATTTATAGCTATACTTACAGACAGTATATATTTGTATTTTATTATTGATTTTATAACAGTGGTTAAACATTAATTAATCGTGATTAATCATATATATATATATATATATATAGCCGATAGATAGATATTCAATTGCAATTATTTGCTTAATATGCATAAAATGTAGTTAATTCAATATTTTATTGAGGAACAGCACAGAACTGTTCTTTTAATTTATGATTTCTATTGAGAAATAAGCATGTATTTAAATATTCACTTATGGCTAATGCCCACTTAAAAAAATGTTCTAGCTAATATGACGTTATATTATGCCGCTACAGTCTCCAAGACATTTGCTTTAGCAGAAACATAGCCTTTTTCCAGACTCAAAATTTTGTTGGCTTGCATTTCCATGTTAAGTTAATGACTTAATGATAAAGCTGGGCCGGTGCAGATTTCACTGCACCCAGGAGCTTCAAAATCCAATAAAATGTTATTCGTTCCCCAATATTTGACAAAAAAGCATAATTGCCCTGCATGTACACTTATAAAAAAGACTAGACTAAAATAATAAAGTAAAATAAAATAAAATGTTTTGTATATACCAGTTGGCATGCTACAGCACTCTAATGAGCTCACATGTGCTGAACCTGAGTGCAGAGCCCACGTGGCAGTGAATCTGATCATGCAAAGCACTGCAACTCGATAGCACGTCTTATGATAATATTGTATTTAACATAGGGAAAGGTCAAACCACAGCACACGTTTTAGTTTTCACGGCCCTGTGCTGCGACTTCAGCACTCGCTCTTGCATAGCCACAGGGTGCAAATTCTAAAAGCAGGGGAGAGGTGAGGCAGCACTCAGGGGCCTCATTTCTCACTGACCCTTGTTTGAGACTTGCATTAAAGCTGGGAATATGTGTGCCTGCTCTCTCGAAACAGCCAGGATGGTAGATTGAATTGGTGATATATGCTTTGGATATGAATATCAGTCTGATCAAGAGCATGTGAACACTCAGTTAAAAAGGTCATGCTTGATTCATTTTACCAGCTGTTATTGGTTTTAGGCCAAAAATCAGTTTCCTTCAGAATACAGATGCAACAGGTTTGCATACTGCACTGTGGTGTGAAAAACCGAGCCTGTCGGATAACATGGGTTATTTTGATGGTGTTGCCCAATGCTCCCTGTTTGTGCCCCTATCTGGCTTTGCGTACAGTAACTTTGCACGTTAATCAGGTCCAAAATGAAACGACACATGCTACGTGCATCTACTCCGAGCTATTTTTAGTTCAGTGATGAGGATTGAGAAAGGCCAGAGAAATGAACCCAGCACCACACCCACCTGTTTTGATTTAACAAACGGAAACATGGAGTAGTGCATGACTGAGCAAAATTTGCTGAGACAATGTGTAGGCCACAAAAAATAACGTCATGCTTAAAAACTTGTGCTCACTCAGCATGCATTGGTCAATTGCAAAGGGGCCTATAATACCTGAAAAATAATAATAATAATAATAAAAATCTATCAATTAGCAGAAAATCTTCAATATAGCATATAATATACCATATTTAATTTTTTATTATTTTATAAAATTCAAAACCTTTTTCTAGAATCCTATTTCTGGGTTTAAATGAAAAAATCCCAGATGTTTTGGGTCCAGTTTAACCTTAACTGTTTCAAAAGGCTTTTAAGAGCTTAAATGACAATAAAGACTAACATGTTTTCACAGCAGTTATATTTAACACGGAGCACATGTTTCTTGAGTCCCTGAGTTAAGCAGTGCAAGGTAATTGCTTTACAGCAGCTGATTGGCAAAATTATGGCTGCATGAGGACATGCATCAGAGTAATTTAGCTCTGCATTAGAGGCTGAACTTAATAGCTCCGTTAATTACGTCTAATATTTCCAGGCTCCTAAAACCAACCACTTGGCGCCACCGTTAATGCTGGACGAGAATCACTGAGAAACCAATGCAGTGACACTGTGGACCCCAAAGGGACTGCAAGCATCAGGTGGGATATTCTGAATGAATATGATGGCTTTGTGAGCTGTTAACTGCTGCAACCACATTGAGTCAGTGAGTTGGACTCAAGAACCAGATCAATCGGATTAAGGATTCAATCATTCAGACTTAATCAAATGGATCAACCAATTCATTCAAAAAAGATTTGACTCAAAAACAGAAAGATTCATCAAACTTTTCATCCTTTCATGTTTTCAAATTTCAGTGAATAATTACTTAATCCTGTTCCTCACAATACTTTATGGTGCATCTTTAAGCTTGAAAGCACCAGTTCACCTCCTTAAGTTTCTTCAGATGTGTTGTTTTTTTTTACTAGAGACACTACCATTCATTTTTTATTATTATTATTATTAAAATATTTTTTTTATGTTTTTGAAAGAAGTTTCTTGTGTTCACCAAGGCTGCATTTCAATTTCTTATGTTGACCATGGTTGCATCACATACAAAAATACAGTTAAAAATATTATGAAATATTATAATTTTAAAGAACTGTTTTCTATTTTATTATACTTTAAAATAACCATGATGCATTTGTTCATGATTCTTTGATGAATAGAAAGTTGAAAAGAACAGCATTTATTTGAAAGAGAAATCTTTTGTAATATTAAGTCTTTACTGTCACTTTTGATCCACACCCTGCTTAATAAAGGTATTAATTTCTTTAAAAACTAAAAATTAAGACTAAAAATTGTGGACTCATGTCCTCTATAGAGGACGAAAATGAATTACTGGGTCCCCAGAGGTTAAAATGCAGTTCGTGGAACTGATCAAACACTGAAAAACCACAAACCATATGGCTACAGGGGAGCAACTGTTAAAACTTCACAGCATCTGAGCCTTATTTTCAGCTGGTAATTGGAGGTCCCTGACTGTGACTGCACACTTTTCGGCAAACCCCAGAGCCCATCTCTTTTGGCTTTATGGGTCCCTAGCACCGACTTTCATGATCAGCATTTAAGGTGCTGATTTTTGGGGGACAGTGAATTTACAACCACACTGCATTCAATTTTGTGGTTCACTGGCATCTGCTGTGGGGTCAGTAGTTCTGGCTTGTTTTCTTTTCTAATCAGAAGTCAACAAGGCAAACTTTTAAAGCCGAGCACTTGTCCTTTCCTTCATTAACAGTAATGCCTAATTTTCCCACAATAAATTAAGACAGAAAAGAAAATACATTAATTAACATCATTGAAAAGTGGTTTCAAAATCTTAATGTGTCTTAATCTTTACCCTCATAAAATCGTTCATAAAAAGTAACATTACTCATGACCCATCACTGTCATTTCTGGACTGAAGTAGCTATTTAATGCATTATAATTACGGCTATTTTATTTGCATATGATGTTATGAGAGATAAAATGGTGATTTGTGTGCATAGATCTTGCACGACTTTCTGGGTTGAAACCACCTGCGTAATACATAGGCATCTTGATTAAACACCCAGAATCCAGTTTGATAAGTATTTATACATCAAATCATGAATGAAAACTGTAATTCAACAAGACAAGGTAATTATTCAACATGACAGCTTTCATACTACTATATGGTAGAATAAATGTTAGTGTACCAATTTGGTCTTATAACGAAGTCCTTGAAATCCTTAGCAAGAATTAGCCATGATTTACAGAGCTTCCTGCTCAGTTTCAGGAACAGTAACCAGATCGTGAAAAAATGGTCGTCCGTGAATGCAGACCCGACTATCTTCTTCAAGTTCCCGTTTCATTCGGTAAAGTGTGTTTGTAACATCAGCTCTGGAGAGGTTCAGAGGTAACTGTCTAGCTAGTCTCACAGCTTCACTCTGAAAGAAAAAGTGGGTAAAAGAGAGTTTTTAAAGCAAAAAGAAAGCTAAAAAGATACTAACTCCAGTCTAATATTATTAATGAAATAGTTCATCCAAAAATTAAAATTTGTTGAAAATGTGCTCACCCTCAGGTCATCATCTGCAGTGAATGGGTGCCGTCAGAATGAGAGTCCAAACAGCTGATAAAAACATCACAATAATCCACACGACTCCAGTCCATAAATGGATATCTTGTGAAGTGTAAAGCTGCGTGTTTGATTTCGCTTTTTAACTTTAAACCGTCACTTCTGGCCAAAATTCAAGTCCTTAATCCATAATAATGCTGCCTTCAGTGGAAAAGTCCATCCCCTGTTGTCCTCACATCAAAATCCACAACCATATTTCTTTAGAACTGCTTTTGTCTGTTCTTGATCTGGGCATTTGTCTCTCCTTATTCAAACTAGATGACTTTTTCACTGGAGAAAGCAATATTATGGATAGAGGAGTATTATTTCTAGCAGGAAGCAAAAGTTCCAAGTTTGATGATGAATTTGTCTCTTAAAAACATGCAGCTTTTTTTGCTTCACAAGATGGACTGGAGTCTTGTCCATTACTTGTGGATTATTGTGATGTATTTATCAGCTGTTTGGACTCTCATTCTGACGGCACCCATTCACTGCAAATGATCCATCGGTGAGCAAGTGTACTGCTGCATTTCTCCAAATCTGCTCCTTGGATGGCCTGAGGGTGAGTACATTTTCAGCTAATTTTCATTATTTCATTAAACTCT